AGTAACAAATAACTCCACCTTTCCAAAAGGCCGAAAGGCTTCTCCTTTTAAGTGAAAATGTGCAGGTCCCTTTGGGCTCCCGCTCGCCACTGGAGTTCAGCTCCCAAGCAGGCCTCCCCAACCAGATACAGCGGGCAGTGCCGGCTAACCGTGGCGACACGCTCTCACTATCCGTGTCTCCTTTGCTCCCACGCCGGTGCTTTTGGGGTGGAAATTCGCAGGGCGAGAGGCCCGCTGCACGGTGCCATTTAAGACTCTGACCCGCAGATCGCACGGCCCACACACAAATCTCACTTCTGCAAGGAATTCACCCAGCGGCGCTTTGGAAGCCACGCTTCCTCGGCCTCGGTCTCCTTTGGGGGCTCCGGGGAACCTGCCGCAGGGGGCGGGGTGTGAACACGATAGCTGCATGACACAAGCGCTTCGCACGCTGGAACGTGCTGTGGCTATTTCTGTGTGCGCATGGAACAGGGCTGCGGGCTGGCACTTCTGCCGGAAGCGGCAACCGGCTGAGGAAAGATGCTCTGGACACTGCAGGCAGATGGGTGAAGTGCAGATGGGTGAGCCGGGGGGCTGCCGGAGCGTGTTCGCGTGTTCGAATGAGCCAAAGACTGCAGAAGACTGGGAACTCTCCAGGCCATTGGTGGCTGGGGGGGGGGGGGGGGGGGGCTTGGGCAAGGGGCGTGGCCTTCCGGGGGAACCGGAGGGCTGGGCTGCTGAGCTGAAGTCCTGACCCTTGGCGCCCCCGCCTTCCTCACGCCAAGGGGGGGGTCGCACGTGGTGGTGCCCCCCGCCGCCCCTCTTTTCTCTTTGCCCCCAGCCCGTCACTCCAGCCACCGCACACCCACCGAGCAGCTCCGGCTAATCTGCCGCGGTTCAAAGCCGGGCTGCCTTCCCTTCCTCGCTGGAATTACGGCGGCGGCATTCCGCAATCTTCCAAGTGTCAAACGCGCCTGGAATGCTCAGCGATAACGCAAGGCTCAGCAGACTCGAGGGCTTTGGGGAGCTGAGTCTGACTGACGGACGGGGCTTTTGCGCGCCTCTCTCTTCCCTTGCCAGGCAAGAGCGCAGATCTGGGCCGATCACCTGCTCCGGCAGAGGTCCTGCAAATCTCCTTATTATGTGCCTGTGGATTCCCGCCAAGCGTGCCGGAGCGCAAGAGACGTGGGTCGTCAGCACCCAGCCTTCGTGTGAGCGTGTCAGTTGCGGGAGGAGCGAGCGAGCGCCAAGAGGAGGGCTGAAGAGCCCCCGGCTGGCGCGCTCCGCTCGGCTGCTGCCTCGTGAAAGCCACGTCAACGGAACCGAAATCTCTATTAGCTGCCGACGCCGGGAGGGATGCGACCCCCTGCACGGACCTGCACCCTGCCCCTCCAGAAGGGGGTGGCGACCCCCCCCCGGACGCACAGCTCCGATGTCCTGGGCCGGCCGACCTATTTTTAAAGCACTCGGCCTTCTGGACGCGCTTCCCACACATTACCCACCATGCTCAACGTGCCCCAAGGTACACAGGGAGCCTCACCCACCTGCCAGTGGAAGCGGGGGCCAGGAGTCACCCCCGCCAGGACAATGCGCCAGCGAGGAGGGTGGCCATGCTGCCCAGGCCTGTCCGTCCACTCAAGCTCCCAGGACCGGCCGGCGTCAGCACGGGAATGAGGCAGCGGTGCCACGGGGAGGTCTCGCTCTGGCCTGGCTCCCCACCGCTCTGGCCCAAGCGACGGCACCACCAGCCTAGCAGCAGGACCGGCCCTGCCCAGGGGTGGTGCCCGTTGCAGGGGAAGCTCAGTAGGTGTCCAGAAGAGCTCTCCCGAGGGTCTCCTGCTGGGGTCCCGGGAGGCCAGCTGGATACCGGTGGCCTGGGGCAGCCTCCCAGCAAGCTGGTGCTCGGCCTGGACCGATTCTGGACCGGAGGGCCCGGCTTGCATGCGTGCATTTCCGTTCGGGTCTGGAGATGAGGCCCTGCACAGCCTCCTGGCACCGAGGAGACTGAGCTTGCCTGCAAGGGGCCCCAGGGCCGGTCCCCAGCACCTCCAGCCCCACCGGCCTCAGCAAGGGGCGGGGAAGAGCTGCCCCTGCCCTCCACGGATGTCCATCGCAGAAGCCGCCATCCCGTTTGCTTGATGAGCCCTTGAGCATCCGGAAGGGGTGCTGCTCCTCACGAGGCTCCAGGCCGTGGGACCAGGCGTGGCTGGCACAGTGCGAGCGCCAGCCCAAGGCCTCTGCGCTCCACGGCACCGTGGCCGACCTGCGGCCGCAGGAGCTCCTTGAGTGCCCCTCGCCCTGCCTGTGTTCCGGCCAGGAACGGATATTCCGAAGCAAACTCCTACCTGGAGAGCCACGCAGCCTCCCTGGAGAAGACCAAGCAGCGAGATGGGCGTGAGGGTGCAGCCGCCTGGAGGAAAGCGGTCCGGCGGTCCGGCATCGCTCGGTTCTCTGCCGTGACTCCCGGCTTGTGCGGCTGCTGAAGGTGAGCGCGACTGTCAGCGTCTGGCCCTCCCCTGCCCTCCCCTCCCGCCTGATGGGGACGTCCCAAGCGCCGCTATGCTCCGCACCTCGCTCTGCAGCCATGGAGAACGGAGAGGAAGGGGGGCGCTTCCCTCGCCTGGCCTCTTCCCCATCTCCAGGGTTTAGTTTCTGACCCTGGGAATAGCACAGGGCCACCCAGACTAGCGGCCACCTCCGGGAATTTGGCCAGTCCTTTCAAAAACTGGTGGCCAACCACTGCATTTTCTGAGAGCAAATTCCATCGTTCAGCTCTGCCCTCCTTCAGAAGGATCTTTTCCGCCTCCCCACCAACCGGCTTCATGGGGAGGCTCCCGTGGGCTCTGGCAGACGGCAAGGACACTGTCTCCCAACCCATCTGCTCCACCCTGTGCTATGAACTCTCGCCCTGTCCTTGCTTGGTTGCGTCAACTAAGAAACCCACCCATTGCTGAAGTTTCATGGAAATAAATTCCCCGTTAGTCAGCACAGGCCTAACCTGAGCCAGAGCCGAGCTCCAGAACCCACTTCACCCAGAAGCAGCGAAACAGAAGCATGCTCACACCGCACACCCTCGCCAGCGCTCGCACCCCTGGGACTTCGGCCGGTTTGAGGCCCCTGCAGGCCTCCAGATGGGTCACAGCTCCCAGCACCCCCACTTGTTGGCCGTGCTGGCCGGGTCTTGGAGGAAAAGGAAATCGAGGGGGTACACATCCCTGAAGCCACGGCTAGTGGGCTCCCGTGCCGGTGGCACATATTCCACGACAGGCCTCAGTCCGCGCTTCGGAGGAGCTAGCCATGGTCCTGCACCCACCAGGTCCTGGGGCGGGGATAGGACCACGGACAGCTCCTCCCAAGGGGGCCCCGTCCGTGACCCAGCGCTTGGCTGGGCATGGCGTCGATGCCAACTGCAGCCCCTGCTCCTGGTGTTAGACATCACCCACAATAAGGAACACGTGCTCCCAGCTGCGGCCAAGCCTTCTCGCTGCCTGGAAACCAACTATTCCGATGCCTGCCGAGACTTTCAAAGGGGCCTGTTGCTTTCGGAAGCACTTAATGCTATTAATCTGGAGGAGGTAGAAACCTGGAGAGAACCGGCTCTGCGGACTATTTTTCTCCCCGGTGCATTTGCATCCATAGCACCATATATCAGGGACGGCGCCTCGAATTCCCATTTCCAGCCCTGTAATATTTCCTGCCAAGGCCCGCTTGCAAAATACACGCGGCTGTAAATTTCCTGACAAGTTTTTTTCCAGGGGGAGGTTCTTTCGCCTCCCCTCCCTAAATTAAGCCATACTAATTATTTTCAGCCAGACTTTATCTCTCCTTCGCAACACTCTGCGAGGGCGCATGCGGTGAGCATTTTAAGCTGCCAATAAACAAAAGAGTGGCTTGGAAAATAATTCTATCAATTAATCAAATTAATCGTGCAGTTTTAGTTACAAGCCCCAAGTGGCAGGATTCGAGCCTGCGGTTATGAGCTATCTTTCATTGACAGTGTTTAAATGTTATGATTGCAACAGTAATTAAAGAGTATAATGTACCTGTTGCTTCGAAGCAGCCCCGGGGCCTCTGGATCTGAGGAAGGGGCTCACAAAGGACATCTGGACCACATAGAGAGGCCGACCGAGGCTCTTCTGGAGGAGATCCCCTCTGCAGGGCTTACACGAACACAGGGCCCGGCGCTCGCATCCTTTCTTTCGAAAAAGGCCCTGCGTCCTGAAATGCAGCGGCATTGCTGCTGCCTGCAAACTTGATCAGTTGCATAAAGAATCGGGGAGCTTTCCTGTGCCTGTCGGCGGAAAAGACGGCAGTGCGTGATGTGACGGGGCCTCCAGGCTCTAGATTGTGTCGGCCGCACGGCTGGAGCGCTTCCCTCCATCTGCCAGAGACTTCCCGAGGCTGAAGCAGGCAAGCGGCGCGGGGATCACGCAGGGAAGCACAAGCCACTCCTATTGTTAGAGCAAAGCAAGAGGAGTCATGGAAATGCAGTTAGTAATGAATGGCCTTTTTAGCACCTTCCAGATAAATGATCTTTTCCCTTTTGCTTAATTCACAGTCCAGGATGCAAACGAAAGCGCCCTTTGCACACCAAGGGCCAAGGAAGGAGCCGCGAAGTGGGGCTGAGCTCGGGACGAGCGGGGGCCTTGGCACCGGGCCTGGAATGCCATCGGCACTAGTGGCCCTCAGTCACCCGTGTTTCCCCCGGGATGCATGCGGTCCTCACTGAAAGCCCGTGCGTGCAATTCTGGGAGGGATCCTGTGGATTCCCCGTGTGCCGTGCAAGGAGCCCTTCTCCTCCTCTGTCCCGAATCGAAGGCGGGCTCTCAACAGTTCTTGAGGATGCGAACGGCGTGCTCTCAGGAGGCCCCTGAGAGAGGCCCCCAGCCTGCCACAGGGTGGGGAGGACTGCTTCTGCCCCCAGGCCCCCACCCTGCTCTGCCTACCCTCCCTCGTGCCCCGAAGCCATACACACAGACTGCCTGAAAAACGCCACACAGACGGATGAGCTTCTGTGAAAATATTGGACTATATTTGAGAGGAAAACTCTGGGCCCATGTCTTACAGTACCGCCTTGTATGCGTCAGCTCATACTTTATTCAACAGTATTAAAACAGGTGCTCACACTGCACCCAAACAACATTATTACCCCCCGAGATATTTCCTGCACTTTTCTCTGCTTTCCGACAAATATCAAAATAAAAACTTTTAACATAACGCATTGCACCCGACGTATAATAATTAACGTATTATATAGATCATTTTTACACAAGAACTATAAAGGTACATATTAACAGGATAAAGCCACTTAAATCTTTTTAAAAAAATCTTCAAAACAAGACAAATATCATTTGCAAGACACACACAAAGTATTCCGAGAGTGTGTCCGACCCCTTCAGTGCATCACCCCTCTGGCTCCGCCTTGACCATGGAGGTCTCTAATCGCGAGTCGATCGTCTTCAGCAATTAATTCAAGCCTCAGGATGCAACCTTTGCTGAACACACTGCGGAGGATCAGCCATTGCAAGAGAACGACCACAGCAACACCTTCCAATCCTCCCTGTGTTAGGTTCCTATAGGCAACTGTTAACATCTTCCAGAAGTTTTTCTCCATCGACTTGTGCATGTGTGTGTGTGTGTGTTCCTGACTGTCTTCACATTACAAAAATAAAAAATAGCACCAATTAACTGCATAGTATAAAGCGCATACCAAACATTAGCGACTACCTCGATACAGTAAGAGTTTGTTGGTTGGTTTGAAAAGATTTGTCAAAGGCCACGAGGGCACAGAACTGCATGGCGGTGGTAGGTTGGCACAGTTTTCTCGCGGGAAAATATTAATAATTAAAAAAATAATTAAGAAACTATGTCACAAATCTTCAAGGTGCAGTTCAGCTAGGTGAGAAGGGGCACGTACATTTCTTTTAAAAATAAACACGGACAAATCCCTCGCCGCAACATCTCCAGTGGTCTTTTAAAGGCCCTCGCTTTCAGAACCCAAGTCTTAGCCGTACCAGTTCGTTCTTAATGCCACACGCTTGGAAACGGCTGTCTGTCAAATCGGAGGCCTACTGCTTTCTTAATTTAATTTTTTTTAATTGTATCATGACTTAGGCTGGTTCCCAATTAAATGAAATCATTCAGGATTATTTGTGCAAAATCTTCTAGGAGGGAAAAAAATGCTTTCTACAGTGTACACCTCATGAATAAGATGTCTCTGAAATGAAGTTCATCTTTTCAAGTACTTTGTACAAAGATAACAGAGACACAGTCGAAAAACGGGGCCTAGGATTTGCAAGTATCCCTTTATAACCTCAGCACTTCTCCAATAAAGAATTTCCTCTTGATGCTTTGCTCTGCCCAAAGCGATTACAGTTTTAGTTCATGAAAATCATCAGCAACATCAAAGTTCTAGCATTTGCATGATAAATCAGGTGAATTAAAGTAGATTAGTAAGACACAAAGCAAAACTATTTCAGAGGCTGCAGTGCAAGTTCATTTAAGCTAGACAGAGAAATCACGCTACACAAACGAATTTAATGCTTTGATAATTTTTCCCCCTTGCAAACCCCATGAAAGCAGCAAAGGATCACCATAAGTCACTTTCATAAATTACTCAGAAGTATCTCTTCTTAAAGGAATTTTAAAGCTAGTTAATTTCTGCCCAAACAGTTGGCTTAAGAGATTGTTCTGGGATTCTGCCGTCCTGTAATTGTGAGTGTCGGGCAGCTTAGCACCTTGGACAGCTCTGTGTCTGCTCACGCTGCAAGGCAGCGAGGTGGAGGGCTCCTTGGCGAGCAGCTGGTGGAAGGCCTTGCTGCCCAGGATGTCCTTCCTGCGCCGCAGCTCCCCGTTGGCGTGGCGGATCTCCACCTTCTTCTGGAAGCACTGGTCCAGCACCATCTTCTTCAGCTGGCCGCCAGCCACGGACATCTTGAGCTTGGGGGCCAGCTTGTTCAAGTGGGGGTCGCTCTTCCGAGGAGAGAGTGCCAGCGCTTCGCCGTCGGGCCAGTCGGCCCTCCGGAACGCTCCGACGCCGTCACCCTTGGCTGCGTCCTGCGTCCGGGCCTTCTTCTTCTTGCCCCCGTCCCCTTCGATGTTCTCCCGGGAGGCGGGACTGCCCTTGTGGCAAGACTTGTGCTCCTTCCGCTTCTTGGGGTGAGGCCTGGCCAGCCCGTTCACCGCCGGTCTCTCCTGGCCTCTGCTGGGGTCCGGATGGCTGTGCTTCGCCGGGGCGCCGGCCGCTTCGCCTCGGGGTTGGCCGCTCAGGGGCCGGGTTGGGGTGCCCCCCGCTTCCACCACACTAGTGCCCATGCCCTGGTCTTTGGGGGGAGCGGCCTCCGTGTCCGGAGGGGCCTTGTCCTTCCGGGAGGGAGGCTCCTGGGCCTCCCCCACACTGGGAGCAGTCTCAGCATTGGCCCGACCCCCCGAGACCCTCTTCGAAGGTGTCTCCTTGGCAGGCCGGTTTAAGGCAGGGGATGCTGTCTTGTCCTTCAGGGGCAGCACGTGGAAAGGCGCCTCCAATGGCGGCAGCTTGGCGGAGGTTTCCCGAGGAACCGCCTCGCGAGGGGGAGGGCCGCTACCCCACGGTGTCCTCGGAGGCCTCCTGCCCTCTGGAGGCTCAAGAGCTGAGCCGGGGAGCTCTGGCTTCTCAGTCGCGGGCTCCTCGTCTCGACACAGGTCCTTCCCGTGTGTCCCTCTGCTCCTCGAGGTGGCCTCCTCGGGGACGTCTGGCTCCTTGTGCTTCTCAGGCAGAGGAACTGGAGGCAGTGCTGCTGGCGCCGCTCCCGGGTCGTTCTGCGCCATGCTGCCACGCTCGGCACCAACCAAACCGGAGGAGGAGTCTGCGGGAGGAGGCGGCTTCTCACCGGGGGAGCCCCCTTTCGTCGGCAGTCCTGCGGAAGGTGCGACCAGGTGCCCGGGCTCCGGCGCCGTGGATTCGTGCTTGGGCTCAGGAGGAAGGGCCGGAGGCGGTGCGTCCAGCGGGGACCCCTGTGCTCCGGCCGGGCGGCTGGGGGGGCCGCCTGCCGCATCTTCCACCTTCACGGGCCCGCCGACGGCCACGCACAGAGCCTCGCCGTCCGGCAGGGCTGCACCGGGGCAGTCCCGCTGCGGAGGTGGCCCGGGGGCAGGGGCGCTGCCGTGGGGGGCCGCCTTCTTCCTTTTGGACAGGGGCGCCTCCTCCCGTGGGCGCGCCTCCTCCTTGATCTTCCGCTCCGGCCCCCGAGCCGAGCCGCCGGGACGCATCACCCCCCGGAACCTGAGGGTCGTGCTGCTGCCCCCCAGGTGCTTCTCCATGTGCCGGTCATACTGCTCCTTCTTGGAGAAGGTGTAGTTGCAGGCGCTGCAGATGAAGGACTTCTTGATGACGTGCATGACGTCGGCGCACAGCTCGCAGGTGTACAGGGTGGTGTGCTTGACGTCGGCCTCCTCCGCCGCCCCCCCCGTGCTCCTGGCTGAGGTGGCCGCGCAGCTCCTTGGTTTCCCGGAAGAACACCGGGCACCTGTGGCACAGGTAGATCTTCTGCAGGCTGTGCACCACCAGGTGGCGCTGCAGCTTGAAGGGCTTGGGGAACTGCTTCCCACAGTGGTGGCAGTCGCGGGAAGGATCCTTGCACTCGGGGTGCATGGGCACCGGCTTCGGGGGGCCCTCGACTTTCGGGGCGGGGTCGGGAGATGGGGCCGCCGGAGCCTTTGGGGCGGTCCCGGGCGGCCTCGTCCTGCCGGGGGCCTCCGCCGCGTCCTCGCCAGGGGCCGCCTCTCGCCCGGCCGGCTCCCTGGGGGCCCTGCCCGCTCTGCCCAGGGGCGCCCTGCTCCCGCCCTCCGCGGGCCTGGAGGGCTTGCGGCACATGAGGGAGTTCAGGAAGTGGGTGACGGCGGCGTCCTGCTCGGCGAGGCAGCCCGGCAGCCCCAGCGCCGTCTTCTGGGCCCGGCCCCTGCGGGCGAACTGCGTGGCGTGCTCCCGCAGGTGCTCGTTGTACATCCAGACTTCGGAGGTCTCCTTCAGGCACATGCCGCACGCCCAGAGCCCCGCCTTGTTCCTGGCGTGCTTCTCCTTCAGGTGGTCCCTCAGCTGCTCCCGGGAGCTGAACCGCCTCTGCACGCACATGTAGCACGTCGGGGGCGGGGAGGGGTTGTGCGTGAGCTTGTGGAAGTCCAGCTCCCCCAGGGTCAGGAACCACTGGAAGCAAACCCGGCACTTGTACTGCTTCTCCTTGAGGGGCGGCTCGCTGCGGGGCTTCCCCGGCTTTCCCTCGTCCGGCTTGCTCGGCGTGGGCCTGCCCTGCGGGAGCAGCGTGGGCTCAAAGCCCAAGGCACAGTCCTCCTCTGCCCGACGGAGAGGGTCTTCCCCAGCGCCGTAGAAGCCCCCGCCTGCCAACTCAAACTTCGTGTTCAACGTCTCCATATCGATCGTGTGGAATGCAGGCGAGTGGGGGGGCTCACGGGCCCCCGGGCCGCAGGACTCTTCCTCGAGGTTGGGAGGGCCCGGGCTGGCTTCCCCTGCCGAAGGTCTCGCGGGGGTCTCCATGCATGGGCGGAGCAGTGCCCCCTCCACTGGAAAGTCTTCTTTCTTCCCCTCTCTGCCCCAGCTGCTCAAACCTGGGAGTGCCCCTGCGGGGCTCCGTTGGCAGAAGAAGCCGAACGCGCTGCCCTTCCTCCCATCAGCATCTTCTTCCCGTCTCCCAACACCTGGCTGCAGCGCCACGCCTTTGGTGGACGTGGGGCTGGCAGCTCCCGCCGTGCCTCTGCTGCCGTGGCACATGTCCAGGATCAGTGTATCGTCGATGGAGATGGTGTCGTACTCGCACGGATCCTCCCTGGTCACGCAGAAAGAGCTGGTTTCACCAAGGTCCGAGGCCATCCGGATCGTGAAGAGGTCCGCCATGCCTTCTGTCCTGGCGCTCGCCTCTGCGAGGGGTCTGGGTTTCTTGGTCCGCTTTCCATACACACGTGTGCACTTCCGGCGAGCAAAGTGGTCGTTTCTGGGGAAAAGCTGGGAAAACTTGGAGTCGTCATCGAACAAGCTGTGCAGCTTGGGCCCCGCTGCTCCCTCACCGTGGGACTCCTTCCTTGGCTGCAGCCCTTCCATTCGCCACAACTTGGAATCCCCAGAAGAGGGGCCGGCACGACCCGCTGCTTCCTCCGCGGCGACATCAGAGAGATGCGGCTGAGCAGCACCAACGTGGCTGGACTGCTCTACTGCCTTGGGGCTGGGTAGATATACCAGCGAGTTATTTGGATTTCTACAGTTTGCCCCTTCAAAAGGACTTCCCTTCGACTCAGGTTCTTCTCTGCTTCTTTCTTTGTCCTGCCCTTCACAAGCATCGCTCGATGTTTCCTTAGGTTCTTCTGGACAGCTGCTTGGCCACCTCTCTTGTGGGAGCTGTTTTGCTTCTGCCTCGGGATCTTGCACCTCTTCTTGGCAGCTCTCCTCATCCCGAAGAAGCTTTGGCCCAGCCGATGATGGTCTTTCACCGCCGTCGCCCACTCCTCTGACTGCCAAAGGGTGAGGAGGCGAAGGGGACCACAGGCTGGTCTGTTCCGTGCTTGGGGTGGAGCTGCTCTCCAGAGCTTCAGTGGTGGTCATCAGAATGACGTCCACGGTGCAGGAAACCATGTTCGAGCAAACTGGAGGGGTCCCAGGCCCCAGATGAGAAGCTCCGATGATCTCATTTCCCCTGGAAGTCGCTCTGGTTTTCCTTGCTCTTCCCTTCATTTTCTTCCCGGCAAACTTGTCTGGAGCATCAGTGCCGAGCTGCCGGTCTTCTCCTTTAGCTCTTGGGTCTTCTCTAGAGGCGGAGGCCAGCTCGTCTGAGCTCTGTGCCTGTGAGCTCATGGACTCGATCCTGCTTTCTTTCCTTGGGCCACTGGTACTTTGGATGTCGTGGGTTGTGTCCAGTGGAATAGCACTGAGGTCGCCAAGCACTCTGCAGACAACCTCTTGGATTTCTCTGCTGGGTTCCTTTCTTTGGCTTCTGTAGGATTTGGGAGAGGGTCGCCCCTCAGCTGCTTTTGCAACATGGGCGTTGGTGGAGGCCCTCCTGTTTCTCCCAGAGAGTTGCTGTCTGGTCTTGAAAGCTTTTTCCAGGGGAGCAAAGCCTGAGCCCAGCAAGGTGGTGCCGTCCTTCTGGCTCTGATGTTTCACAGCCTTGTGTCTCATCAGTCCCGTTTTGGATCTGAAAGAAACCGAGCAAATCTCGCAGGTGGCTGGCAGCCCTTTCCGCCTCTTGGCCTTTGCTTGCATGGGCTCGGAAGGGTCTCTTGGCCGCCCATCTTCGCTCTCCTCTTGCACTGGGAAGCCGGAGGTCCCTCCTTCCCTCTCCTTGCCTTCCAAATCTGCTTCCTCCAGAAAGTTCCCGCTGCAGCCTGCCTCCCATCGCACTTTCTGGGGTTCGGCCTCTGGACCTGGACCAGCCCCGCCTGTGCCGCCATCTGCTCTTTCTGGAGAACTGGCAGCCGGCATCTCCCGAGCAGCAATCCCTTTGCTTGCAGCCCCCGGCTGGGGTTCCTCTTTGCCCCCTTTCTGGGGGCAGCTCCCAACTGCCCTCCCCTCCTGGGGCTTCGGCATCAGCTCCGCATGCGTCTGAGTCCTGGCGTCCCTCAGCAGGGCAGAATCAGTCCCTGAGGGAGGCTGCCCAGGCAAGGCATCCTGCAGGGCCGGGGGCTGCGAAGAGGCGGGCTTGCCTGGTGCGGAACACCGTTCACCGTCTTCGTGACCAAGCTGACTCGGCGGCTCTTCCGCACGGGCCTTCTTCAGAAGAGGCAGCTCGTGGGCCGAGGGGCGACAATCCGTGTGCAGCAGCAAGGGCCGTTCCGCTTGGACCAGGGCGGACGCTGCGTGGGCAGAGTGCAGAGAGGAGGCGGCGGGCGGAGGGGCCTTCCCGGAGGAGTCCACGGGGCGGTGGGCCACGCTCAGCAGCGCCACGGGCAGGGGAGACGAGGTGCCGCAGTGCTGCAGGACGGGAGAGAAGGGCTGCTCCGCGGGCCCCAAAGGACTCTGCAGGGGGCTGCCGGGAGGGGGCTTCTCGGGGCCAGGTGAGCGCCGGCGTGGGGGGAGCGGCATGTGCCCGCCAGGTGCCTCTTCGGATGGCGGCACTCCAAACGGGGCGTTCTGATCAGCAAAGCCGGTGTCCAGCGAGAAGCCGCCCGGCGGGGCACTGACGTGCTGAGCGCCTCGCGTCCACAGGCCGCCGTCCACGGCTGAAACCGGGCCGTCTCCGGAGCCGAAGCGGCTTCCAGGCAGGGGAGAATCGTCCTCGGGCGGCTTCTCTGGAGGCGTCGTGGGAGCCGGAGAGAGATCACGTTGCAGCGCCGGCACCTGCTCCCCGCTGGCTTCTCTCCGGTGGGCTTTTCCGGTCCCTGCGGCTCGGCCGTCCTGGCAGCCACCGGCCCAAGTTGTGTGGCACGCAGCGTGTGCTTTGAGCACGGCCGGCAGAGCACAGCGGGAGGCTTCTCTTGCAAACGGTCCAGGGCTTAGCGGGGATTTTCTGCAGTCCCGAAATGCCACGGGTGCCTCCTCTGGTTTGCCCTCCAGCTCTCGCGTCACTTGACCGCCGCCGCGCACGCCCTCCTCCCGCGGCAGGGAGGCTCCTGCCGAGCTGGCAAGTGGCAGGAGGCGACCGTGCTGCAGCGAGAGGCCATCTGCGCACACATGAATGTCTCTGACCCCTGGGCACCCGTCCTCGAAGCGGGGCTGCTGCCGGGGGCTCCCCAGCACGGCTGGCTTCGTGCCGCAGCAAAGGGGTCCCCCGAGGAACTCCAGCTGCTTGCCCGATTCCAAAAACAGCCGGATCGGGTCGGACACGTCGGCCATGTGCTCGGATGCTTCGGCCAGGGCCTCCTTCGCTTCCTCCAAGGTGGGGCTGCCGGCCCCGTCTCGCCCCCCGGCGGCCTCTTCTGCCTGCTCGGGCTGGCTCTCGGCGGGCGCGGGCAGGTGCCCGTGGGGGGGCCGGCCTGGGAAGCAGGGCAGCAGCAAGTCTTCCTCGTTGCTTTTGACCGTTCGGGCCACGAACAGCTGCAGCTGCTGCAGCGGGTGAGCTGTTTCTCCTCGGGGCGCCGACTCATATTCCTCCTCTTCCTCCAACTCCTTGGAAAAGGTCAGCACATCAAAATGCAAAGGTTTTCCACTGGTGTCCTTACTGCGGAGGGCTGGGCTCTGGTGAGCGGGGTGGCCTTCAGCCCCCTCAGCTTCTTCCAGGAGCAGGGGGCCACCCGGACCCCCTTGCAAGGCAGGGCTGCCTCCCAACATTGCTGGTGAGCCGGTCTTCTGGAAAAGCCTTTCCTCCGGTCCCTTGCCTCCTTGTGCATCAGAAGGCAAGTGGCCATCAGATGCTGGAGTGCCAATATCTTGCACCGCCGATTCCAGTTGCAAACGCGGCACTTGACCCTCGTACGCTTCCAACTCTGCTGCGCCGGCCAATGTTTCCTCCTTCGGTGGCAGTTCTGGGAAGGCATCCACACTTGGTGGCAAAGCGTCGTGGGCGTTAAGCTTCGGGGCACCCAGAGCTTTGGCGAGCAATGGGCTGGGGCTCGGCATCAGATGCTTGGCGTAGTCTGGCGCTTCTGGCTGGTCTGGAAGGCACGCGGTGTGCTGGACTGCCGTCGAGGAGGCCTGGATCTCCCTGAAGCCGCCTTCCCCAGTGATGCCGGCATCCTTCAGGTTTCCCTTGAGCTTGTCTTGATCCGCCTTGCAGCTAAAAGGGCCCGTCAGCATCAGGTCGGGGGCAGACGGAGAGCACACGGTGGGCTGCAAAGGTCGAAGGGGCACCGGGCACGGCCATGGGTCCCTCTGGCTCCCGTACTTGCCCTCTAAAGCGGAAAGCAGCGCCTTCTCATTCCCCATGTTGTCACAGCTGCAGGACACAGCCGCCTCCTCAAACTCTGCCTCCATGAGGAACAGCCCCTTCCCCTCGCCCTCCTGGCCCAGCGTTAAGGACAGGAATGGGTGCGCGGCTTCCTTCCGTTCCGTGGGCGCCTGGTGTTCCACAGGTGCGTCCTCCAGACTGAGCTTGCTTGTTTGCAGCTGGCTTTCCAGCTCGCTGACCAACCGTTTGATCTCGAGCTCGTCATCCGAGATGCTGCTCATGAAAGCCATGCCGTAGTCGGCCATCTGCTCGGGCAAAGTCATCTGCTCCATCTCACCGGGGAACCTCTTTGCGCCCGGCTTTTCGACGGAGAGGCTGTGAAATGGCGCGAGGTCGTCTTCCATCAGGGCCCAGTCCTTCTCTTGCAGGAAGGACGAATAGTGCTGGTCAAAGGGGACCATTTTGCCCAGCTGGTGGCCGACGCACTCAAAGGGAACATAGGTGTCCTTGCCGGAAGCCACGCTGTCGTACAAGGAAGCATCGAAATCAGTGGCGGGCAGCTCCCCGAAGACAGCGGAGGAGTCGAACTGAAGTGGAGAAGAGACCTGGCTGTGGACGGTAGTGGCCCCATAGGGTGCGACCTTGTGGTGCTTTGGCTTGAAGGGGCCGAGGTCCGCGTCTCCCGGGCACAGGTAGACGTTGTCAGCAGGGGCTGCTTCGGTGCCTGGAGGCCCTGAGAAGAGACTGGACGTGTCGTAGCTGCTGGGCAGGCCTTTGCAGTCATACAAGGTTTCAGTAGCATCCACGAGTGCATGGGGCCCTCCCACAGCCACCCCGATGCCCGGGGGGCCCTCCTGGAAGCAGCTGACGGGAGCAGGGAAGGCCTTCTGCTTCCTCAGGCACTTGAGGTCCGCTTCTTCGTAGCTGCCGCACTCCTCGGCGGCGTGGTGGCCACGGGAGGCTGGGCTGAGGAATTCCTCTGCGGGGTATTTCACGGCGTCCCCCTTGTAGGTGGTGATGAGATGGCAGCGTTGGTCCGTTCCTAAGCCGAGCGCCTCTTCCGGGGCTTTTGGTTTATCATGCTCCTGGGCAGAGCGCCGGCTGCTGTGTTCCGGACCTCCCGCAGAAAACGGCGTGGGCAGGCCCTTCCCAGGAGCCCCCTTGCTGGGCTGCGGCTGCCCCGGGGTGTGCAGCAAGCCTGCCTCTTCGGGGAGCTGGAGGACCGGCAAGGCCTCTGGAGCGGCCCTCGGACAGGCCTTGCACGCCGCCGGCTGGGTGTGGGGCGAGCCGCCGCCGCCCGGCTCTCTTGGCAGGCCGGGGGGCCCCCTCTGGCTCCTCCCCGTGGTTTCTTCCTCAGAAGCGTTGGGCGACTCTCCCAAGAGGGGTCTGGAGCCCCGGGCGCTCTGCGGAAGCCGCCTCCTCTGCTCGCTCTCCTTCTCCGTGTCCGAGTCGGCCCTCTCGGTGCTCCGGGGGCTGCTGCTGGCCTCGCTGGACAAGACAGTGCTCTGGAAGCTGCTGGAGGACGAGCGGTTGCTTCTCCGGCGCACTCTGCCCGAGCCGTCGCCCCTCCTGTGGGGGTCCCTGCCGGAGGCCCCCTTGGGCCCTTCCCAGTCTCGCCGCGGGCCGTACCTCCAGTCCGGCTCCGGCTCCTTCTCCCTCCCTCGGCACCGCCGGCCGAAGCTGCTCCTCCGCCGCCCGTTGAGCCTCGAGCCCAGCTTCCGCCGGCAGTGCTGCTTGGTGTGCTCCACCCTCTCCTCGTCGGACTCTGAGATGTATTCGTATGCCCTGAGCTTGCTGTCCTTCCCCTCCGGAAGCCGCCGGTCGGCGAGGAAGGACGAGAGGGGCGGCCCGGCCTTCCTACTCTTCGGGTGCAGCTGGTGCAGCTTGTTTTTCTGCTGGACAATCTTGTGGATGAGCTCTTTGCTCCACGAGCCGCTCCGCAGCTTCCGCTCCTTCCCCCCTTTCGCAGTGGGCTTGGGGTCCCTGGCGGCCACGGAGGGCCCCGCAGACGGGAGTCCGCCGCTCGGAGGAGAGGCGTGGGCGATGTTCTTGGACACCTTCGCCTCTGAGATGCTGCTGGCCCCCCGACCCTTGGGCGGGAGGGAGCTCCCGCCGTTCCTCCGTCGCACCTTCAAGGGGGTGCCTGGGCTGGCTTGCGCCCCATCATACGTCGCTGGGTCCATCGCCCGATTCGGAGCCACCTCCGCCTTGTGCTGGAGCTCCAGCCGTTCCTCCCCGTGGTCAAGCAACCAGCCCAGCCCCCTCTCCTTGTGGCCGTGCTGCTTCGCCGCCGGTTTGCTTCTGGCTGGCTCTCCGCCGGGGTGATCGCCGTGGCAGCCGAGCGTCCTCCCGTTCTCGTCCACCCCGGGGTGCTTTGCCTTCTTCCCCGAAGTCGCGCTCTCTCTCGCTTTGCACAGTGTCCCGCTGCCGCTGCCGACCTTCACGGACGCCAGCTCCTCGTCGGCAAACACATCGATGAAGCTGCTGTCGATCTCCGGGGTGTCCGACTGGTAGCCCAGGCCGTTGAGAGCTTCCGTGATCAGGTGGTCCAGTTTGGCGTCATCGATCTCCAAGTCGGAAGTGCTCAGCGGCAGGGAGCCAGTGGCCGGGCCGAGGCCGAGCTGGCCTCCGCGGAGCGCCTCCTCCCTGGCCTCCCCTTTGCTCTCCCCGTCCGCCAGCGCGTCGGCCGCCCTGTTCAGAGCAAGCAGGTGCGGGTGCGGGTCGGGAGGCAGCGGTGGCCCCGGGGAGCCGTGCGCAGGCGGGACGGACTCGGGGGGCGCCGGAGGCGGCCTCCGGCCCTCTGTCCCACGGGGGGGCTCTCTGGCTGGGCCCTGGAGCATGGCGTGGGAGCTGCAGAACTGCCGGTGCTCCAGGAACGAGGAGAGGTTGCCGAAGTTCTGGTCACATTGCTTGCAGGTCAGCAGCACATCCAGCTGGTCCAGGCTCGCGCTGCTCAGTGAGGTGGCCAGGAGGTGATGGGAGGAGTACGGCGGAGGAGGTAGGTCGGCCTCGCAGCCCTCCAGGCCCCCCTTGGCGCTCTGCCCGGCCAGCCTGGGGGCGTGGCCCTCCCCGGGGAGCCCTCGGTAGAGGAGGTCCTCTTTGGCGACGTCCTGGGAGAAGTGGAAGGCCTTGACGGCTTCGGTGGGGGGGTAGTGGATCATGCCGGAGCCCGGGGCCTCTGGCGGGTGGAGCGGCTTGCTGCTGTCCTTTGGGGGGCACGGCGGGTGGAAGAAAGGCGAGGCGGCCAGGGCCACGCCGCCCTCAAAGCTCTCGGGGCTGCCGGAAGTGGGGGAGAGCGATGAGCAGGAGCTGCCGCCCGTCGGGTGCGGGGCCGGGGACGGCAGTGGGGAGTTGCTTGGGGAGGCGGCCATGGCCGGCGGGGGCAACCCCAAAGGAGGGTGGCAAGGGAGCCGGGTGGTGGCCAGCAGCACGGGTGGGCTCACGCCAAAGAAGAGGGGCTTGTTCCGGGGGCCGCAGGCGGCGAGGGGCTCCGTGTCCGTTGCCGCGTCGAACGAGAAAGGATTCGCGGTGCTCCCGCTCCCCGGGCTGGATCTGGCAGGGCCCTCGCCAGACGGCGGGGCTTTGCCGGTGTAGCCCCCGGAGCTCTGGGGCCCCTTCGCACTGGCGTCCCACTCGGGCGCCCCGAGGGGGAACGGCAGCTTCTGGGCGGCCAGCTTCCGGGACAGCTCGATCCTGTTCTGGCCGGGCGAGGCGGAGGCGAAGGGCAGCTGCTGCCAGGGCTTCTTGGCGGGGTGCCTCTGCTCCGGCTCTGGGGGGCCCCCGAAGGAGGACTGGCCGCCGCCGGGGCTTGGGTAGGCCACTGGGCTGTGCTCCAAGGGGGAGAAGGTCCTCTTGCTGCCCTCCCACGGCTGCGGGAGCCGGGGGTGGCCCTGCACAGGCGCGGCGAGGCTCTTCTCCGAGGGTCTGGGGCCAGAGCTGCTGGCCGAGGGGTCGCCGTACGCCTTGCTCTGACAGTGCGGTGGCGGGAGCGGGGTCTGCGGCCCGACCCTCCTCAGAGAGCCGCCCGGGTCCAGCGCCCGCTGGCCGGCCACTGCGTCCTTTGGCAAGGGCAGCCTCTTGCCAATCAGCTTGGGCATGCTAGAGATGTGTAAACTGGGGGGGAAGACAGCCAGGCCCTCCGGGAAGGCACCGGGGCTCGGGTCGATAGCACCAGAGGGGGAGATAGCACCATTGTGGTCCGGGGAAGGGTCCCTCCTCCCTTTGTAGCCTGGGAAGAGCCCCGGCGCCGGCGAGGGGAGGAACGGGGCCGGCGGGGCAGGGGCCAGTGCATACGTCCTGCCCTCCGTGGCCACGTGGCCGTAGGAGCTGCCACCACTGAGGACGTCTCCTTTCCAGTCCCGGGCGGAGGAGTGGAAGGCAAAAGCACCATGAGAAATCTGGCCGGAGGCCAACCCCACGTCGACGTATTCCGGGGCGTGCGCCTCGCCATGGAACGGCTCCGTCGCCGTGCTGTGCAAAGTCGGGAGGGGGTACGGGAAGGACAGCGGCCCCCCGCCGTGGGCGCTCGCCTTGCCGCCCTCGGGGAAGGGGAACGGCCTGGGGGCGGGCAGCCCGCTGTCGGCACCCGGGAGGCTCTTCTCCGGCGGGGGCCACGCAGCCTTCTCCTTACCCTGGAACGCCAGGTAATGCAGCGGCCCGTGTGGGGCTGCGCCCTCCTGGGGGGTGCCCGCGGCGGGCTGGGCCTTCCCGCCGGGGCTGGGGTGCGCAGCTGCTGCCGGTGAGGTATAGTTGCCGGAGGGGAGGCCGGGGGCGGCCTCCGGGAAGCAGCGGGGGAAGCCGAAGTCTTCCTGCTGGAGCTCCACCGCCCTCTCGGGGGCGCTGGGCACGTGGAAGCGGTAGCTCCCCGAGACGGGCCCGTGACCGAGGTCCGGCTTCTTCGGCGGGGCGACCTTCTGCTGCGGGTAGGCGATCCCGATGGTGGGGTGGGGGCGCGCCCCGCTGATGGTGAGCCGGTAGAGCTGCTGGTGGCCACGGTCCCCCTTCCCCGACCGCCTGTTCTTCTCCCGCGCCCGGCTTTTTCCGGGGGGAGACTGGGGGCTCCCCTTGACGGCTCCCCAGTGGCCATCACTGGGGAACTTGGGCCTGCTCTGGAGGGACTTGAAGTCTATCTTTCCCGCTTGCTGCGGCCGGATCACCGCCTCCCTCTGGGGGTGCGCCTCTTTGTCCCGCACGGCTGCGGTGCCGGCCCCGGCCTCGGTCCCGTTCTGCAGACCCGCCTCGGAGCCGCCCGGCGCTCGGCCATCCAAGGCCCCCGCATCCTTCTTGCCGAAGGGCTCGAAGCCGATGGCGCTGTCCTGGCCGCCAGCCTCTGCGTCGTGGGTGGAATACGCACGGCGGGTCTCTCCCATCATGGCCTGCGGGCCAGGCCTACCGGAGGCCCCATCCCCTCCGCTCCTCGAGGCCGGCCTTCTCCCACGCGGGCGCTGCCCTTCGCCCCGCCATGGCCCAGGGGCACCTCGGCCTCCCGGACAGCTCCCGACGCCCCGCTGGCTACGGGCGAGGGCTTGCCTCGAAAGCACGCCGGGGGTTCATCTCGAGTAGACCTGGGGAGAGAGGAAGGCCCCGTGAGCTCTCGAAAAGGCTGGTGCATCTCCACCCGGCCCCCTGCCCGCACCCCGAGGCCGGCTGCATGCGTGATCCGAGGACCCGCCGTTCCTCCGCGGCCGGCGACCCGAGCGAGGCGAATGAGGAGCCCCTCGCGGCGCTTTCTTGCCCGCTCGCACGGTCCGGGGCCGGAGTCCGGGTTGCAGCACCCGGTTCCAGGACGGCAAGCGCAGCCCGGATAAAATCGGTCCTGGGGCAAGGCCGGCTTGAGAGATTCTGCCGCACGGACAAATTATCCCTCCGCCCGGCTTGCACCTTCCTGTTCGCAAAGAAGCAGGACATATCGGGTGTCCTCTTCAAAACTCTCCCAGCTTGAAGTCCTCCCCATTCTTCCATTTGAGCCAGAAACCCCCAGCAGACATTCCTGGGACGCAGGGTCGGCCTCGGGGGCCCTGCTCTGGGAACTCTGGCCCGAGCAGCAGGGCCTTCTCCGGGGTGGCCCCCAAACAGCCAAGAGATCCCCTTGGGGAGATCTCCCAGTGGCTGCTCATTCTCATGCTGGGAGCTTCAGGACCGTTTTCTGTCTACGTATGCACGGGATTCCACGCTTGTTGGGCTTTGTGACGATCCCATTACTGGGCACTGACTGACCAATGCCGCTCTTGAACCCGCTGCCGTTGATGCTTTCATTAATAGTGAAGTTTTACGGAATCTTTGTGGAGGAGGGACTGCCTTTCACGATGGGGCTTTTACCAGATGGTGAAATATTTTCTTTGCCGAGAGGAGCACTGTTTCCCATCTCAACCTGCAATGGGGTGTGGGGGGCTTCCTGGCCAGAGCAGCTTAAAGTGGGGCCATTTTGGGATTGGCCCCATTTTCGGTTTCCTTTTCAGCACAAGTCTTGGCTGCCTGGCCTCCGGCGAGGGGGTTGGGGATACCAGCGCCCTTCAAAACCGACCTCTGGCCCACACCCCACATCAAGTGGCCGCCTGCGTCTGGACCAGAGATGGGCTGGGTTGGCGGCCCCGGGGGGCTGCTTAGACCCCCCGGACGGCCCTGCTCCTTTTCATTTTAGGACAACAAGTGCCTATGTGCAGGAGAGGACATGAAACACCCGAGCTGCCTGCAGGCCGAGAGGAAGCTCCCCCCACACCCCCCTGACAGACGCAGCCCCTCCTTCCAGCACTTCAAAGGTTATTATAAGCAATTTACCTCTGGCTGGAACTTGCTGAGGGAGGCATCTTTCGTGCATTAAAAAGCTGCTTCCCTGAGCTGCAGCCATGACAGCACGGCTCCACCCCGGGGCTTATTGACGGGGGGGGGGGGCTCTCCTCGGTGGCTTTGATTCTTAAGCCCAGCTCGGAGGCGCCCCCCGCCCCTGCCCGGCCGGATCAGCGCACCATGCCCGAAAAGCGCCACTGCTGCTGCCCGTGTGTGGAGCCCAGTGCTGCCCCGGCCCCGGCAGGGTGCGCCTTGCGCCGGTAGCGCCTGCGCAAGCGCACCTTGAGAGGGGAGCAAGGAGGGCCCGGAGGCATGCGGAGGTCGTGCGCACTGGGGGCTCGCGGAAGGGCGAGCTGGAAGCGTGCGCAAGCGGGAGAAGCAGCACGGAGCAGGGGGCGTGACGGCCGTCTAGGATCCGTTTCTGCCCCAGGGCTGAATTCGGGTTTGCAGACGTTCTCGGGGGCCGGATTCTTCGCAGTGACTGCGACTGGAGGCCAAAGAGGGGCTGGGGGTGGAGGAGGGTTGCTGCGTGCAATTCCCGATAAGCTGGGCGACCATTCAAAAAAGAGACAAGTCGCTAGCCCTCATGGATACCAAGCTAGCTGAAAGGTACGTGAACCATGGAAGTCAGAGAGGTGGCTAAGAAGGTTTGTCTTCAGTGGACAAACTGGATCCACTACACATGTTCAAGCTTCATTTTGTGGCACTGAGGCCTAGTAACTTGCTTTAAAAACATACCAACAACCATGGTAACATGCTCAGGGGGCTAGGGGCCAAAATCAAGCTGTGAGCCTAGGGGACAGGGTGGCCGTGTGTCCTCTTTTCCTCTATTATTCCCTGGGATAAGACCATCCTCTGCTTCTCTGGAGCTCGCGCAATTTCGGTGAGCCTCCACGAACCGCCTCTCAGCGCAGCTCATGCTGCAAGTCGTGAGCGCGAGCAGGATTCTGCGACACGCTCAAGGGGGAGACTCAGCAGGGGTGGCCCGACCCCACCGAGGGGGGCGCTCTATTTCAGAAGCAGGCCACCGGCGCCCGCCGTTCATCCGCACGAGGAACTTATCGGATCCGCGCCGTTAGCACAGATTCCACGCTTGAGCCAGGGGGCCACGCAGAGCCGATTCCTCTGCTGAAATGATTATATTAATGATTACCCTTAAAAAATACCAGGGCGGCGGCTGGAGCGGTTTTCTCCCCCGGGTTTGTTCTGCATTTCAGGGCGTATCCTCTGCCGGGCTGGTTTTCTGCTCCGTCCCGCACTTTGTAGTCCGAGGGACACTTCTGGGGCTGCCAAACCTCGGGGATCCCGCCGGGGAACGGTCGGCGGAGGGCTGCCCGCCACCCTCCGCCCTCCTCGTCCTGCTCCCGCCTCGCTGCAGAAGGGACGGCCGAGGGCACGGGCCGCCAGCGCTGGATCTGCCCGTTTCGCTGGCCTGCCCATCAACCAGGGCCCGGCCGATGAAGCCCTGACAGTCTCAAATCCCTCTGCGGTTTCACACTCGCCGAGGCAAAATAAACTCTCGCCGGCAAAGGGAGGAGAGGCCCCCGTTGTTCCTGCCGCCCCCCCACTCCGGGCGGCCACCGCCGGCTTTCGCAACAATGGCCCGCTTATGCCTCGGCGGAGCCGCTGTGGCTCGGCCTGTTTGCTGCCGCTGGACTTGGCCGAGGCTCCGGGCCACGATCAAACGGCCGTGGCCAGAGCAAGTCAGGCTGTCACAGCTGGGTTCATTCAGCTCCGTAAAGGAAGCATTTTGGAAGCCGCTTTTAAAAAGGGGCAAAGTCCTCGGCTGGACCCAAGAAACTTGCGACGTCTGCCTTTCACAGGCTCGGCCAGACGGGCGCACGCGTCTGGGAACTTGCTGAAGGCCCGGCTCGGCTTCGAACTCGGCAGCGGGATTCCAAGGCCCATTAGGCATGGTGGGGGGCAGAGGACTGTGGCCACAGAATGGCACTTTGGAGAAAGACCCCCACGGCACCTCATGGGGGATCTTGCTGGAGCAACGGGGATCTTTGCCGGACCTGGTCCAGGCAGCTGCCTTCTTCCAAGTCAGGCTCAGCATCTACCTCCATGTTGCCCCCTCTGGGGCAAGAGGATGGGCTCATTCTGCCAGGGGCACTGGGTGCCTGTTTGGAACGGGGCTGCGCCTTCCCCACACGGCAGGGAAGTGACCCCAAAGGAGCCGTAGCCCCGAGTGCCCTCTCTCCTCCACCGGCTCTTCCGTTTGCAGCCCTTCCTGTCGCCTCCCCAGCCTGGCGTCCAGCGGACGAGCGGGTCTCCAGCACCCACGTGCCGGGGAGGGGGGGCGCAGCTGCCAAGGGTGGAGCGAGGAGCCTCTTTTGTGCCAAGAGCAAATTTGCTGGCTGTGGGTCTGGCGAAGCTTGTGGGGCTGGGCTGGCTCTCCAGGTGGCCCAGATCTGGTCTCCCAAAGCGGACGTTCTGCACTTAGGAGCTTGGCAGAGCAGAGCAGGAGGCCGTGGGGGTAGGGGGGTGGGGACCGCCTTCTGCCCCTCCCCGAAAAACGAGGTACATCCTCAAAAAAAAGGGGAGGACACCGCTGTGGTCTTTCAGGCCCATTGGTGTGCATACCCAAAATGAGTTGAAGCCTGTAGAGGAGAAGGCTGACCCCGTGGACGTGGCACAGCAGCCCCGCCGCTCTCCCTTTGCAGGGATTTTGCTTTCAAAGCCCCCCCTTCCAGGCAGTGGACACCTGCAGATGGCGACCCGTCTCCAGGCGGCTTTGCAAGGCACCTGGGTGCCCCCGGCCAGGTCGGCAGAGGCGGCCTCAGGCACCCCGTGTGCGGACGGCTCTGGCTGCCTCGTCCCGCCCCAAACGCCAGCAGCCGCCGGCTCAAACAGACGCCCCCGGAGGCCGAGCTTCGGCGAGGGCTGGGCAAGCGCGCTTCCTCTCGTTTACGCCCTTCCTGCGCTGCCACCCCCGTCGGAGCCGCTGCGAAAGCTTCTCCGTCACTGATCTGCAGAGCAGGGTTGTGCCTCTCATTTATTGCTTTCCTGGCCAGGGGGAGGAGGGAAAGCCACGTGGCCATGGGAGAGGCAGAGGGTCTCCCCTCAGAGAGACCCTTCTCGGGCATCAAAGGCGGTGCCCTGGCAGGCCAAAGTCCCCCTCCTCGTCACACGCTTCCCAGTTCCCTTTTTTCCGTTGGCCATACCTTGGAAAACTTCCTTCGCTCAGCTACTGCCGGGTCTCAGCTTAACTCCCCGTGAAATATGAATTTCTTGGCTGCAAGGAAAGTGAAAAATATGTCAGGAATTTTTGTTAGGCTTGGCCACCGTTGCTGCTGCAGATCACGAGCCTGCTCCAGTGCCCGAGCCAGGGCCGGGCGTGAAACACGTCCTCCCTCGGCTGCGCAGCTGGACGTGCGGGGAGCAGTGGCCCTCCGGGACGGGTGTACAGACACCTTTGGATCGCCGGGGGCCGGGAGCCAGCGGGGCTGGCTGGCAGGACGCCTCGCACACGGCAGCTCGGAGATCCCGGCCTTCCCCCGCAGGGCATCCGTGAGCCGTGCGGACCTTCGGCATCCCACCAGGAAAACACCGCTTGCTTCTACACGAGTATCCTAAGGCAGCC